ACACACACACACAAACACAACACACACACACACACAAACACACACACACACACACACCACCACAACAACACACACACACAAACACACAACACACACACACACACAAACACAAACACACACACACACACACACACCACAACACAAACACACACACACACACACCCACAAGACAAACACACACACACACACACACACACACACACACACACACAACGCATGCACACACACACACACACACACACAGACACACACACATTTAAATTAATCTAAATCTAGAATTAAATTAGATGATGTTTCTTAGATGTTCAGATCAGTGTCACAGTTTACAGTTTAAATTTTACAGTTAATAATAATAATAATAATAATAATAATAATAATAATAATAATAATAATAATAATAATAATAATAATAATAATAATGATAATAATAAGTATAATAGTTTTATATCGGGCTTTTTTGGACACTCAAAGACCCTTTACGGTGCATTATTCATTCACTCCAGACCTGGTGGTTCTAAGATACTGTTGTAGCCACAGCTGCCCTGGGGCAGACTGATAGAAGCGCGTCTGCCATGCCAATCGGTGCCGTCGGTCCCTCCGACCACAACCAACACTCACGCACACACCACTTTCATACTAGACAATGTGGGTGAAGTGTCTTGCCTAAGGACACAACGACAGTTTTTGTGACTGGTGCCTCCTGTGGCTCCTGATTTTCCCAGAGACCAGGTCCAACCCAGACTTTGACAAGATGATATGGCCACATAAATGTAAAGTTGACAGTCTAAATGTAGCGTGCAGCTCTACGTATGTTTTAGTTTAACACTAAATACCACCAACAAAAAAAAAAAAAACAACAACAACAACACTAGAGCCATTTTCACTCCCCACCACTGGACGAGGTGGACTGTATGGGCCAATAGTGAAAAAAAAAATTCTAGATGAATCCATTACAGAACAATGGTTTGTCGAGGCCCTGGTTCCAGATGAGCCGCTCTAAGTGCTGGCCTCCATGAGCTTCATTTGGAGCTGAGCGCTGTGGGTGACGTCACACTCAGAACATTTCTTCACACAGTGTGTGGTTCCAGGTTCTGGAGGAGCAGGTCGTGGCTTTTGTCCAACAGCAGCTGCAGAGGCACCGCAGGCTCCTGGCCTCAGATTACCCAGAATGCTCCGAGAGTGAGGAGGAGGAGAGCAGAGAGGTTCTCAACATCACCCTGGACTTCCTGAAGAGGATGGACCAGGAACATCTGGCCCAGCGCCTGAGAGACAGTAAGAACCTCCAGATGCCCTCCCATCCTCCTGTATCCCCGTGTGTCAGGTGCCCTCCCCGTGTGTCAGGTGCCCTCCCCGTGTGTCAGGTGCCCTCCCCGTGTGTCAGGTGCCTCCCCGTGTGTCAGGTGCCCTCCCCGTGTGTCAGGTGCCCTCAGGTGCCCGTGTGTCAGATGCGGTGTCCAGGTGCCCCCCCGTGTGTCAGGTGCCCTCCCGTGTGTCAGGTGCCCTCCCGGGTGTCAGGTGCCCTCCCTGCCCTCCCCGGGTGTCAGGTGCCCTCCCCGGTGTCAGGTGCCCTCCCCCGCCCTCCCCGCGTGTCAGGTGCCCAGGTCCCTCGTGCGTCAGGTGCCCTCCCCCCGTGTCAGGTGTCCTCCCCGGGCATCAGATTTCCTCCCATATGAAATATGTGACATGTTTGACATTCTAACTCTTGTGTGTTGTTTAAAGGGAGTAAAGTTGGATTCAGAGATAAACTGAAGTGTGATCTGCAGCAGAGGTTCAGTCGTGTGTTTGAGGGCGTGGCTAAAGCAGGAGACTCCGCCCCCCTGACCCAGATCTACACAGAGCTCTACATCACAGAGGGCGGAGCCTCAGAGGTCAACCAGGAACATGAGGTCAGACTCATGGAGACGGCGTCCAGGAGACCGACCGCTCCAGAGACCATCACATGTGAAGAGCTCTTTAAACCCCGCCCACATTCACCACAACCAATCAGATTTGTGCTGACGAAGGGCGTGGCCGGCGTGGGGAAAACAGTGCTGACTCAGAAGTTTGGTCTGGACTGGGCTGAAGGCCGGGCCCACCAGGACCTCCAGCTGCTGTTCCCCTTCACTTTCAGAGATCTGAATGTGCTCAGAGACACACAGTTCAGCCTGGTGGAGCTGCTGCACCACTTCTTCAGTCCATCCAAAGATCTCTGCAGCTTCCAACAGCTCCAGGTGCTCTTCATCTTTGACGGTCTGGACGAGTGCAGACTTCCTCTGGACTTCGGCCGAACCCGGTCCTGACTGACCCCACAGAGTCCACCTCAGTGCACGTGCTGCTGGTGAACCTCATCAGGGGAAACCTGCTTCCCTCCGCTCTCGTCTGGATAACCACGCGCCCCGCCGCGGCCAATCAGATCCCTGCTGAGTGGGTCTCCATGGTGACAGAGGTGCGAGGGTTCACTGACCCACAGAAGGAGCAGTACTTCAGGAAGAGGTTCAGCGACCAGGCCACAGCCATCATCTCCCACATCAAGAGCGTCCGCAGTCTCCACATCATGAGCCACCTGCCGATCTTCTGCTGGATCCTCTCCACAGTTCTACGGAAGCTTCTGGAACAAACAGAACCAGAGCTGCCCCGGACTCTCACACAGATGTACATCCACTTCCTGGTGGTGCAGGCCAAAGTCAAGAACATCAAGTATCACCAGGGATCAGGGGCAGATCACTGGACTCCAGAGACCAGGGAGATGGTGAAGTCTCTGGGAAAAGTGGCCTTTGAGCAGCTGCAGAAAGGAAACCTGATCTTCTACGAGAGTGACCTGAGCGAGTGTGGGCTGGACGCTGCAGCGGCCTCAGTGTACTCCGGAGTGTTCACACAGGTCTTTAGAGAGGAGCCAGGCCTGTACCAGGACAAGGTCTACTGCTTCATCCATCTGAGTGTGCAGGAGTTTCTGGCAGCTCTTCACGTCCATCAGACCTTCTACAGCTCTGGAGAGAACCTGCTGCAGACACCACACTCCTCTGAGACGCCAAAGTCTGGATTAAAATGGAAAAGAAAAGGAAAGTTCTCTTCAACACAAAAAACCTCCATGACACCAGAGGCAGACTTCTACCGCTCTGCTGTGGACCAGGCCTTACAGAGTCCAAACGGACACCTGGACCTGTTCCTGCGCTTCCTCCTGGGGCTGTCTCTGCCGACCAATCAGAGGCTGCTGCAGGGTCTGCTGACTCACACAGGAAGTGACCCAACCAATCAGGAGACAGTAAAGTACATCAAACAGAAGCTGGATGAAGAGGGTCTGTCTGCAGAGAGAAGTCTGAACCTGCTCCACTGTCTGAACGAGCTCAACGACGGCAGTTTAGTGCAGGAGATACAGAAGAACATGAGAAGATACCTCTCTGATGGAACCATGTCTCCTGCTCTGTGGTCGGCCCTGTCCTTCATCTTACTGTCCTCAGACTCAGACCTGGAGGAGTTTGACCTGAGGAAATACCAGGCCTCAGAGAACGCTCTCCTGGGTCTGCTGCCGGTGGTCAGAGCCTCAACCAAAACCCTGTGAGTCCAGACTGTATTTAAACTCTTGTGTGGAGGTTCTAGTCTCTAACGTTCCTCTCTGTCCTCAGACTGTATCTAAACTCTTGTGTGGAGGTTCTAGTCTCTAACGTTCCTCTCTGTCTCCTCAGACTGTATTTAAACTCTTGTGTGGAGGTTCTAGTCTCTAATGTCCCTCTCTGTCCTCAGACTGTATCTAAACTCTTGTGTGGAGGTTCTAGTCTCTAATGTTCCTCTCTGTCTCCTCAGACTGTATTTAAACTCTTGTGTGGAGGTTCTAGTCTCTAACGTTCCTCTCTGTCCTCAGACTGTATCTAAACTCTTGTGCGGAGGTTCTAGTCTCTAACGTTCCTCTCTGTCCTCAGACTGTATTTAAACTCTTGTGTGGAGGTTCTAGTCTCTTGTGTGGAGGTTCTAGTCTCTTGTGTGGAGGTTCTAGTCTCTTGTGTGGAGGTTCTAGTCTCTAACGTCCCTCTCTGTCCTCAGACTGTATTTAAACTCTTGTGTGGAGGTTCTAGTCTCTTGTGTGGAGGTTCTAGTCTCTAACGTTCCTCTCTGTCCTCAGACTGTATCTAAAGTCTTGTGTGGAGGTTCTAGTCTCTAACGTCCCTCTCTGTCCTCAGACTGTATTTAAACTCTTGTGTGGAGGTTCTAGTCTCCTGTGTGGAGGTTCTAGTCTCTAACGTCCCTCTCTTTCCTCAGACTGTATCTAAACTCTTGTGCGGAGGTTCTAGTCTCTTGTGTGGAGGTTCTAGTCTCTAACGTCCCCTCTCTTTCCTCAGACTGTATTCTAAACTCTTGTGTGGAGGATTCTAGTCTCTAACGTTTCCTCTCTGTCTCCTCAGACTGTATTTAAACTCTTGTGTGGAGGTTCTAGTCTCTAACGTCCCTCTCTGTCTGTCCTCAGTCTTTGTGGCTGTGGTCTGTCTCCTCACAGCTGTGCTCCTCTGGCCTCAGTCCTCAGCTCCTCCAGTCTCACACATCTGGATCTCACCAACAACGACCTCCAGGACTCAGGAGTGGAGCTGCTGTGTTCTGGACTGAAGAGCGCCCCCTGCAGACTGGAGACGCTCAGGTGAGACGCTCCCATGATGCACTCTGCCCCCTTGTGTCCACATGAGTGTAATGCTGTGTCTTTAGGCTGTCTGGATGTCTGGTCTCAGAGAGGGGCGGGGCTGCTCTGGCCTCAGCCCTGAGCTCCGCCCCCTCCCACCTCAGACAGTTCGACCTGAGCTACAACCATCCAGGACCCTCCGCCGAGCTCCTGACCGCTCTACGGGACCAGCGCCCCCTGCTGTCTGTCAGGTGAGACTGCACTGGTCCTCGTCTCTGGTCTGGCCTCTGGTCCTGGTCTAAACTGGACTTGTGTGTTTCAGGGTGGATCCTGCTGGAGAGCGCTGGATGGTTCCAGGTCTGAGGAAGTGTGAGTTTGTTTTGTTTCCTTCACACAGTAAAGTGCAGAGAACAGC